TGCCAAGTGTTGGAGTTTCTTTGTCTCTCAGAGTGTTTTAAAACAGCTCTGTTCATTTAAAAGTGTTTAAAAAATGTGTGTACATAGTTTTTGATCTAGTGACAAACTTAATGTTGCACTTCTGATAATTTAAATGTGGTTTCACCTGTGATGTACTGAATACACTTGACTGCACTTCAGTTAGTGTTTTGTCCCTTTCTGTTTACAACATGTTTGTTCTTTGTTCATTTAAAATAGTTTAAAATGGTGTGTACATAGTTTTTGAGCTAGCGACAAACTTAATATTGCACTTTTGATAATTGTATAATTGAAATTTGTACTGTATATACTTGACTGCATGTCCCATGTTTCGTCTTTCTGCTTTGATCCTTATTTTTTCTGGGCAAGCTCAAAGGGAAGGTTGTTATGGTGAGAAACCTAATTGCTGCGATGCACTTTTATAATTAAATAAATATTTTCATTTACATTTTAAATTCATGGTGTGTTGCATTCTTTGTTTATAAATGTATATTATGGAAAATCATGACATTTTTTGAGCTTGGGTCCCTTAGGACCACAACATTTCTGTTTTGGGTCTCATGCTGAAAACGTTTGGGAACCCCTGGTCTAACAAATCAAAACCAAAAGAGGCACATCTCAAATAAAAGGGTTAGCAAATTAGATTGTCTTTTTTTCTATTACGTTAAAAATGTTATGATTAAAAGCTGGAAAGCCTCTTCCCCATAGGTTGCCCATATCTGTGTCTCTTAAAGTCTAGCGCTGTAGGAATTGTAGCCTTTTATTTTTCCTGTCTACAGAGGACGCCACTAGGAGACCAAACTGTTTAACCTTTTTACACAAAACAAACTGAAATAAACTGCCTCTAACATTTCCAATGACTTTTCTGCTTGTATGAGAATCATGTGATCAAGGGATCCTGTCACAGTGTTACAAAGATAAAACGGGTAGAATTCCTTCAATAGGATTCACCATTTGAAAAAATAGATGAACAAAATGAAGACCTGTTACATTAGCAGCTATTGTCATGTGAATGGACCCCTCCATCCCGCATAATACTCCATCTTTGTAACGGAAGGTGTAATGAGTGCAATGAGTGTTTAATCGTTGATATGCAGTTTGTGTGTATGATGCATTCAGCTCCTCTCCTCTCCTTCCAGCTGGACTGGAGCCCTTCAGACAAAGACCTGGAACAGTGTGCCATGAAAGGAAAGGAAATGGCAAGTTTGAGAGTTTGATCACTGTATTTAGATAAGTAGGAAAATCAAAGTGAATAAAAAATTTCTCCTCCTGACCTTTTTAGAACTAATAAAACAAAACCACTTTTCATAACATGCACCTTTCACATCGGGCTGTTAATGTTAAAGAGCACCGTGTAGAGTGGTGTGTAGTCTTAAATGAAATGTGAATTGTTAGTTTGAGAGCGTGCTTTGCCAAGATATCCTAACGTCCCTGAGGAACCAGGAGGCACACGCTGCTCGCTGTACATCTTGGTGGACTCAAACATCTAACTTTATGTCTTTTGTCTTTCTCTAGGCCGACTGTCCTAATTTCATCCGTGTGCTGCAGTTCTTGAACGCTACTCACATATACGCCTGCGGAACCTTTGCCTACAGCCCCCGCTGCTCCTACATTGTGAGTTTACACAGACGTTCAACTGATTGGTTGGTTTTACTTTTTGACGGTAAAAAATGTTTATGGATTCCAAGCAATATAACCATGTTTACTTTAACAGCCACATTTGGTTTATCTGTTGATCTCTATTTCATTCTATATTCTTTCTATATTTTCTGTCCAGACCTCTGAGACGTTGATGATGAGCATGAAGCCCGATGAAGGCCGGGGTCGCTGCCCCTACGATCCCTACCAACGCAACACCGCCATCATCGTAGGTCAGTGCGGCCATGATGTCACCACCAATATTCACTCTATAGCTGTTGGTGGCCCAGCAATCATTTCGAGAGAATCTGTTCCCTCTTTAACAACTTATTAGCTGTGATTCAACACTTCGACATGTTTTAACAGATTATCTATAGACTATATGTGACATTTCTCCAACATACCTACATATAAAGTGGTGCAGGAATAAGTCCTAAACCCAGAAATACGTTTTCATCATTGGCATTTTAGCATTTAGGGCTCCATTGTCAAAAATCCAAGTCGACTTTTTTGTTTGACATGTTTGTGGTTAGAAACCTGAAGTAAGGTCTGTGGTTAAAACAAACTGAAGATCATTTAATGTTTTGTTCTAAACATAAAATATGTCTGTAAATAACCCACTGGTGAACGTCTGAAACTTCAATGTATCAGAAAAACAACGGTCGCTAACAAGCGACTAAATCACACTGCTAACCGTCTTCACTCCTAAGCCTCCTTTAGCTTAGCCATGTTGAGATGAAGTCATGTGACCCTGCTGTAGTTTGTTGAATGCCTAACTTTAGGTTTTTATTTCTGGAGATTGCGTTTACTCTTCAAAATTCATGGAGTGGTGTTAATATGCGGAGATTATCCTTCTGAACAAAAGCACAAAAGTTCTAAATGGACTGCATTCATATAGAGTGCTGTTATTCTGCGTCCACTCGGAGCACTTTAAAGTGCATTACAACAAAGACCGTGTTAACTGTGGTTTCTGCCCGCACATGACTGAGTCCTTGAGAGCTGTAAATGAGACCTTGACCCCACAGGCTTTCTGTTTCTTTATCTACACCATATATTCACTCAAAAATAATTTCAGGCACCATGTCAAGTAAGCTGGAAATTGGCTTAAAGAATGTAACGTGTAAAACAAATTATTGTCTCTCAATAACTAATATTTCTGATTATCTTCAGAAAAACTCAAATGTGATTTGAGGAACACAGGATAATTATCAGGCAACAACTTCCTTCCTTTAACCTAAGGTTTGTCTGCAAAGAACACTATATTAAATATGTATTATTATATACCTATTAGGGCTGTCAAGTTAACGCGTTAATAACGCGTCAACGCAAAAAAAAGTTAACGCCACTAATTATTTTAACTCGATTAACGCATGTGTATTTTTTGTCCTCGGCCGCCCCGTAGTTTCAGAGCGCATCGACTTTAAAATACCATCTACAATCTGATGCTGACAGCCCAGCTCCTGCCGTCCGTCTGCGGCAGACCACACTTCCACGCTCACCGGGCAGGCACCGACTGGCCATTGGGAGGACCGGGAGGGTGTGTGTATGTGTGGCGCGAGAGAGAGACCTTACGTGTATTGTTTTTGTTGTTAGCATCTGGTGCTAGCTAGCTGCGCTAACGGATATAAGGAGCTGTTTAAGAAAACAGAGGAGTGACATTTCGCCGACAACTGCGCCGAGCACTTGACTTTATGCAGGTAGCCAGACAGTGGGACATTGTGGGAAAAGTCAGCACACTCAGCACGGATAGTGCGCGCAACATGATCACAGCGTCCAGGCAGCTCCCGTTCGAGCATATGCCTTGAGTTGCACATAGCTCCAATGATCCATCACACACACACACACACACACACACACACACACACACACACACACACACACACACACACACACACACTTGTATTGTATTGTATTATTGTATGAGACAGGTTCCAGGTTGAATTGAGGTGAATATTTGTAATGTTCAGAGGTTGTTGTGTTTAATATTCATGAGAATATTTGTCATTGTTCAAATGATAATAAACATTTGCATAAAGCATATTTGTCCACTCATATGTTGATAAGAGTATTAAAAACTTGAAAAATATTCCTCTAAGGTACATTTAGAACAGATTACAAATGTGCGATTAATTTGCGATTAATCGCGATTAACTATGGACAATCATGCGATTAATCGCGATCAAATATTTTAATCGACTGACAGCCCTAATACCTATATTAAACTGCCTGGCAGGGTGATAAAGCTGTCAAAATGAAAAATATACAGACAAGGAAATGCTGAACTAAATAGTAACACAAAAACAGGAAGCAAACTGATTGTTCAGAGTATCAGGGGAATGTCCTGTATAGCAGTAGCTAACATTTCAGTTTAGTACATTTTAGAGTTCCTTTAATGATGATGTCATACATAGGTTCTAGCTGTCGTGTTGAAACAGTGTTCAGTTTGAAGGCTCCTCAGGATTGTGCTGTGCCCCTCAGACGGAGAGCTGTACACCGGCACCGTGGCAGACTACAGGGGGAACCGGCCCCTCATCTCCAGACACCTGAGTGAGGGCCGGAGGGTGGACCTGAAGCTGGATGACACGCTGGGCTGGCTGGAGGGTGAGGGTCACCCTGAAACATAAACTAAAATACTTACTTGTACTCATACTAGTTAAAGTACAGGTACTTTAAAATGGTACTTAAAGTGGACCTATCATGCTATATTTGAATAATACATTGTAGGGCCATACCTATATAAAACATGTCTGTGAAGTTTTTTTTTCGAAATACCAAACAGATCATGCATTTTAGCCATGCCTCATTTCGCTCTATTTGCTCTATTCCAACCCTGTCTTCACAAGGGCTGATTCTGTGGCAAATGAGCTGCAGCTGACCACGCCCCCCTGGCAGGGGGGCGAGGCACGAGCGTCATGTTACCATGCTGTTACCATGCTGTTACCATGCTGTTACCATGCTGTTAACATGCCACGCAACCTCTCATTCCCCTGATAGGTGGAGAGTTGCCCATATAGGCGGAGCACCCCGTTTCTGACGTCAGAACAATTTCAAATCTGTATCAGTCTGTATCAGATCCGTTGCAGCCCCGTTTTTAGAGATTTAGGTATGGAGGAAAAGACACCAAGTGACACCAAGTGTCAGTAAACACAACCCTCTCTTGTGTTTTCTGACACTTGGTGAGTTCCCTGACACACCGGGGACACATATTCATGTATAAAAGACGTACAAAAGTGCATTTTGCATGATAGGTCCCCTTTAAGTACCATACTTGAGGATATGTGAACTACTGAAACTAAAAAGAGAACAGAGAAAAACAACAACAGAGAAGATGTTGACATATCCCCACAAACGTTGCCCTCTGTTGTAGACCCGACCTTCATCAGCTCCAGCTTCATCCCTGAAGAGGAGAAGATCTACTTCTTCTTCAGTGAGGTGGGCAGAGAGTACGACTTCATCGACAAGTTCATCGTTTCTCGCGTGTCTCAGATCTGCATGGTAAGGACCCTGCAATCTGATGTTATTTTCACTCTTGCACTCGCACACATTTTTATAATCATACATTTCTACTTCATTCACACAGTCATACGTTTGTATTCTCATATACATACATTCTGTGAATACATTTAATATTTAATAAACAATAACTACTGTGTTTCCTTTATTGGGTTCACCTTTACAAACTAATGTCATTCTGAAAAACGTTTATGATGCCTGTATTGTTCAGGAGTTGATATGTTCTAGCGTGGAGCTCATTGTTAGTTTATTTCATGACTCTTTTTTGGTGGGTGTTTCCAATATCCTGTCCCCCTTATGCTAGGGAACACATCGGCATGTAGGGCAGTACAATGCCACTGTGACCTCATCACACACAGGACTACATCCCCAGCATCATTATGGGCTGGGTAACGATGTGATGGCAGTGCTCCTCTAACAGGACCACTGGAGTCTGTTCTCTGATTTGCAACAGCCACTTGAAGCTCGCCATTGTGGAAGTCTTTATGCTCATAAACAGCCTCATGCAGATGGAGTTTTAAAAAAAAATAGCTCTTCAGGCTGTTGGCCCACTTTTTAACAAGAACGCTTAAATAAACAATGTCTGAAATGTTTTAAAGGACTAAAGTCTGTCTCAAACAACAGTCATATGTTTCCAGGTTCTGCTGGCTGCAATGTTCAGACTGGCCATTAAAGAGGCCCTATTGTGTTTTTGTGTTGTTAGCTTTCCCATAGTGTGTTATATAGGTTTTGGTGCATGTAAATGGTCTGCAGAGGCTAAAATCTATTGGACAACTTTGTTTACTTTTGTTACATAAGGACATCGGGATGTAACCCTAAACTACTATTGGCTAGTGCTCCAACATATTGTATGTGATAGGCTAAGAAGCAGGACATCTCTGAGAGGTTGTCCTATCACAACAGAGCCGGCCAGCTAACCAATCAGAGCAGACTGGGCTCTGGTTTCAGACAGAGGGTGAAAAGAGGTGCTGCAGCACAGGCAGTGTGAGAAAAATAAAGAGCTTTTGAATATTAAAGTAGAGACACTACATACTGATATACACCTGAAAATCAGCAGGAGAGGACTCTCCTATTCAGAGTTGTCCCTGTAGGGTGGGGGACTCCAAACAAACAAACAAGTGACAGCGGCACAGCGATGTCTGAATCAGTGTCAGTATCTGTGTCTGAATCAGTGTGGTGTAGATGAGTGCTGTGTTCCCCTCCCCCTGGCAGAGTGATGTGGGGGGTCAGCGGACCCTGCAGAGACGCTGGACCACGTTTGCCAAAGCTCAGCTGCTGTGCCAGGCCGACAACGAGCTGCCCTACAACGTGCTCCAGGACATAGACAGCCTCCCCCCAGCAGAGGGCGCTCCGGCAGACGAAACTCTGTTTTACGGCATCTTCACCTCCCAGTGGTCAGTGGGCTGGACATCCATACAGTCCTTTCACATGTTCAGAACCTGACTTTTCTTTACATAATCTACATTAGGGACATTTGTATCATACATTCTTTAACATGTCAAAGATGAAAAATAAACAATGAAATCTTCCCCGTCAGACCCCCAAGTAGCTAGGGTTGGGGG